TGTGTGTGTGTGTGTGTGTTGTGTGTGTGTGTGTGTGTGTGTGTGTGTGTGTGTGTGTGTATTGTAAAGGAATTCGGCTATCATGTTTTGTTTATTTAGACAGGTTGTATACGTGTCACTTCAAAAAGGATTCGGAGGTCGAATCCTGTGGTCGAATCCAGGTTCGCTCGGGAGCCTTGGTGAAGGGTTGCGGGTACGGGATGGGGTCCTCACTCGAGTCGGCCATTGCCGTAAGGTGAGGTGCTTTCCCCGTCCTAGTTTTGGGTTATATTTTTTGTGAGAGTGTTTATGCATTATACATAAACAACGTTGTATTCTTTTGACGGACAGATAGGCTGAAGAGCCTATTCGTGTCAAGGGCCAGGCACGCAGGCTTCAATATATGTACTTGTCTTTGTTATGAATTGGAAAGCAAGTCCACGTGGCCACTTCTAACTATCAAGATTGTCCCGGGTCACCCAAGACTGGATACTATGTATATTGTGTGGACATAGTGGCATGGACTTCAAAGAAAAGGAATGTTTTTGCTTGTTTATATTTGCACCTGGGGAAAAAGTTATTTCATATAGTGTGATATATATATATATATATATATATATATATATATATATATATATATATATATATATATATATATATATATATATATATATATATATATATATATATATATATATATATATATATATATATATATATATATATTTTTTTTTTTGTGTGTGTGTGTGTGTGTGTGTGTGTGAATAAATTGTTATCAATGGTTTGAATTGATTACTTGTATCCTCATAACTGGTAAATCTCTGTGAAATAAAAATATCTTGGCATTTACATATATATATGTATATATATATATATATATATATATATATATATATATATATATATATATATATATATATATATATATATATATATATATATATATATATATATATATACTATCAGCCCTCTCTCCCTCCCTCCTCTCTCTCTCTCTCTAGCTCTCTCTTATCTCTCTCTCACAGCTGTTAGCGTGTTGGTCTAGCAATCTTGCCGACCTGCGTTCATTTCCGCGCATATATATATATGTGGGGCTTTGGAAGCAAAAAAGCAGACAGCATGTTACAGGAGAAAAATGAAATCTAAGAAAATAAATCCCTCTCTGTCTCTCTCTCCTTCCCTTTCCTCCCTTTCTTTCTATCTCTCTCTCTCCTCCCCGTCGCGTCTCTCGCTCGTTCTCCATTTCTCCTTCACTCTCTCTATCCTTCCCCTCCCGCCCTCTCTGTCTATACCTTTCTCTTTCTCTCTATCTCGTGTGCTATGTAGTACAGTGGTAACGTGCTTGTCTAACTATCTTGCTGACCTGCGTTCGATCCTGTGCGCTGCCAGTGGATGGTAACCCCGGCCATTCCTTGCACACAGGGGGGATTTAGAACAAAATATAGCAGTCAGCATGCCACAGCAAAGAATGCCCATTGTAACAAATGGAATTTCAAATAAATTAATTTTCAACAAAATCTCCCTTCTTTAGTGTGTGTGCGTGTTTGTGCATACACACACACATACAACTATGCATATATATGTGTATATATTTAGAGAGAGAGTATGGCATATATATATATATATATATATATATATATATATATATATATATATATATATATATATATATTATGTATATATGTGTGTGTGTGTGTGTTTTGTGTGTGTGTGTGTTTTTGTTTTGTGTTTTTGTGTATATACACACATATATATAATTTATGCATAACCCCACATATGTGCAAGTATGCCAGCACCCCCTCCCCTTAGCCCTCCCTCCTTCTCCCTTGTAGGAGGGACGCCACTTCTACCCCGGACGCCGCCCTGTCTCATCCCCGGCGGACGGGATGGGGACCTCCAGCGAGCACTGACCTGCTGCGTCCTCATTTCCCTCGTGAGGTGAGTCTTCCCCGCTCGCTTTCAACCCATTTCTCCATTATATGTGTCTGTAAAGTAAACGTGCGGTTATTTGGGGTTGCCCTGTTCAGGGAAGAATCACGGAAAATGCCGTAAGCCTCGTCAAGAAAATCATAGTTCAATCAGTCAAGCTTTATCTACAGGGCGTTGCTGTCTCTCGTGCAAATACCTGGGAGATGCTTCTGAATATTTTCATGTTGGAGTTTTTTGTCTCGGAGGGTTTCTTCAGCACATCCTGGGGGGTCTTCCCTCGCCTGTTCTTCGGCTTCGGGGAAACCTTCAGGGAAAGGAGCAAAAAACGACGGAGATGGCCTTCAGAGGCTGCCAAGTGGAGAGGTGTGTCGCCGTCCTTGTCGGTCTCTTCCAAGCGAGCGCCCTTTCGGCTCAGGACTTCCAATACCGCCATGTGGCCTTTGTATGCAGCCATGTGTACCGGTGTGCGATCTGAAGGTATGGTATGAAGTCACACAACGATAGGGAAAAGGTGGTGAGGATTACTCAAAGCAAATACATTCTTTCAGTTAATGGTTTTAGAAACAACCTTGTTGTAATATAACCACATCAATAGGATTTAAATCAACACCCAGCAAGGTCTATATGAAGGCAATCTCTCTTTCTTATAATTATTCACCTATATATCTAACTATCTATCTATCCATCTCTCTCTGTTTATTCGTATGTGTATATACTCATAAACACACACACAAAAAAAACACACACATACACACAGACACGCACACATACACACACACACACACACACACACACACACACACACACACACACACACACACACACACACACACACACACACACACACACACACACATATATATATATATATATATATATATATATATATATATATATATATATATATATATATATATATATATATATATATATATATATATATATATATATATATATATACATATATACATTATGTACGTATATATATGTATCAATCTGTCTAATTTTTACGCTCACATCTGGCACAAGCGCATCAGATGCATGTTCGACTCATAAGTTTGTTATTTTCAGATCTATTCACTTTCCATTGGTTACTCTATCTTCCAATATATAGTATTAAGTCAGCATCATTTCCAAAATGTTACAAAACCTCACATCCCCCCCCCCCCCGTCCGAATAGAGGAGGGAGAGGAAATGAATTAAATAAATATTAAATAGAAATTAGGAAAATGTACATTTATAAAAGCATGAAATGCCTATCTATGTCTTCTGTCTATCCTATATATGCATCATAAATATACCTATATATACATACATGTATATGTGTGTGTGTGTGTACATATACTTACATATACATGTATATGTTTATATAAATATATACATCAATGTATATGTTTATATAGATATAAACATCAATATATGTTTATATATATATACATACACATTTATATGTATGAATTTATAAAAGTACGGAGCGATATTCGAAGAAATCAAATCTGAAATCCAATGGTGCCAATTATACAAACTCATTCTGTAAATATTTGATAACTGACTTTCTTGTACAAACCTAGTATCTGTCCTCTCATGTACCTTTATGAATTTTTTTAATTTGTGTTCAGCTCCGCTTTCAATATTGCAGATTTGATAAATAGCGTACGCGGCATTTCTCACGCTCACATCTGGCACAAACGCATCACTTGCATGTTCGACTCAAAAGTTTATCATTTTCAGATCTATTCGCTTTCCACTGGTTACTATGTCTTCGAATATAACAAGTAAGCACTATTTCAAAAATGTTACACAACCTCAAAATCCGTTTCGTTTAGACAGAGAAAAAGAAAAGAAAATCATGCATTGGCAACACACCAAAGGCGGGAACCTGGAGCGTCTGATCCAGAGACGTGCCAGGCCCCCCCCCCCTCCCGAAGAGAGAAGGGAGAGGAAAGAGATTAAACAGAGCAACTGCAACTAATACTATTCATAATAACAGATGTAATAGCTGTAATAATAGCAATCACAAGATACATAAAGGCCCACGTGTCCATAAGTTTTCTCACACCTGTTACCCTTAAATCCGTTCATTAATGTTTTGTTCATTTAAACTTTCATCTATATCATAAGCAGCGATATGTTCGCGTTAATGCACTACAATCATGAGGTATGTGCATTGATATGAGCTTAACGTTGCCTATGTTATAGATAAAAGTTTAAATTTACAAAACATTTAATAAACGTCTTTTAGGGCAATTGGTCTGAGAACACATCTGGACGGCCACGCACACAAAAGATGATCATGGTAACGATAATAAAAAATCAATGATAAAGACAATACCATGGGCAGGGGGTAGGCAAATAAAAAGCCAAACATGGTAATATTGCCAGGATGTTTAGGGAACTTATATTCGTTCAGCCATGACATCATAATTGTCATTGTCATAATCCTTATGATTCCTATTAGTCATAAGATGATTGACATCATTATGTTTATGGACACCATTCAAATCTTTGCTTTTATCACCAGCCACAGTGTGATTAGCATCATATCCTCTTTTTTTCTATTCTTTTACTTAATGAAGATAAGAACAGGAATCATTGCCATCATATTCATAACTTTAAGAATTCTGAGTTATAATGATTAATGCTGTAACCGGAATATCCTTCCTTCCCCATATTCTCATGCTGACTGCAATAACTTCAAAGCAATGTCATTAAGATTAAAAGAATCTCATTATCGACATGCTGATAATCCTCATTCGTGTTAGTTCCCTTAATCACGACTGTGATTGTTATTGTCTTCTGCTGCTGCTGCTTCTTTCTGTCCTTATTCTCATTTTTGTATTATCATATTCATCATCTTCCTTAACAATACACATCGCCCTATTATTATTATTATTATTGGTGTTGATATTATCACCGCAACTATTCTTGGTCTTATTTAATATTCCTACTCTAATTCTTTTTCTCGTTATTATCATCCTTAACTTATCACTATTATAATTTTTATTAGAATCATGATGACTGTCATGATTCTAACCAGTTATGTTATCACAATTAATATTTTTGTTATTATTACTATTATTATTATCAGTGTGATTATTATCATTAAGATTATTATTGCTGTCATTGTTGATATTGCTGTATTCGATGCTACCATCATCATTATAGTAATCATTATTCTAATTAACATTAGATATAATCATCAAAATGTTCATTTTTTGTACTGACGAGATATATGCTAATTTTCGAAAGAGCAAGATTGATGAAGATCTCGTGAAGATTACCTAAGTTAGCCCTTGAACCGGTATCACGTTGATCATTATTATTACTGTTGAAAATAAGTAATTGGGATAATTATGAAGAAAAAAAATCAATAATAATGCTAATCATAAAGGGTTCACTAGGAGTAGGGTGAAGGTATGGGGGAGGGAGGGAAGCGAAAAAAGAAGTTTCAGTTCGATGCGAGAATATGTTAATTTTGGACATAATTTGCGCCCGTGAGGATTTGCTCCCCGCCCAAAGGTGGAGTTTCAAGATATCGTCATTTTTCGTTTTTCTCATCTTTTCATGATCATTTTGGTATTAACAAAACAAGGTATAAGAGTAGCCTTCCTACACCATAATCCTCTATCATCTACCTGCATTCTGAAGTATTGCAGACATTGCCAGCACGTAACAGTTTCTCAAAATCTCATGTATAGTGTGGTAGGGTGGCAGTGATTTGGGCTGTCTATAGGCCTTCATTGACCATCAAAAAAAAAAAAAATAATAATAAAAAAAAAAAAAAAAAAAAAAATCTCGAAACCTTTTTTTCAAAAGGCGACCTTTTCAACACCCCAAAAGGGTCTTTCGAAAATGTCACTTTTATAAGAAGTACATTTAAAATATTACAAAGCCTTATTGCGGCATGTAGTAGATCTACTATTCAGTTACACAATGAGCTATAATACGTTAAAATCGGACTGAAAATACGTGTGCTACAAGTAAATATGTGAAGAACCCAAATATCGCGGTTATTTTCCATTACATTTTTACCTTAAAAATAACAAATAATGTATGAAATACTTGTATATGATATAATTATCTATCATCTACCTTTACTGTTGCTCTAATGGGGTTTTACAGCGTATGATATTGGTCGAAAAAAAAAAAATCTTTCTTCAGGCCTCTGAATATCACAGTCCACCCTTCGCTGGCGCTCAACCCGGGAAGTAGAGCACGGTATCCAACCTCATCGTCGCTGCGATGTACTCTACGGGATGGCACACCCAACTTTCACACTAGGACTCCCGTGAAATGACGATATTCAAGTACGGGGCGGTGTAAAAAAAGAAAGAAAAAAAAAAAATGTATATATGGTATGTAAGGATGTCCAAATACTTTCCGTGTAACCCATAACCTTTTCTTTATTTGTATTATTTCTGTTTGCTTGTTTGTTGAATTTTTTTTGTTTGTTTGTTTTTGGTGTTGTCTGATATTTCTAAAAGTTATGAACACATTTTAATATTTCTACCAGAGGTATGTTTTAACCTTAGACGCCGATGACACTTTGGTGGTGATGTTGACCATTTTTTTCGAACTCAAAAAGACATAGACAGGGGGGGGGGGGAGTTTGCATTTTCAAAATACTTTGCTCATAGATAAACTAATTATGTATGAATGAAAACTTAAAGAAAAGAAAATACACTTCGTACAGATCGAATTCCACCAGTTATATTATGAGAATAAGGGTAATTCTTTAAGAATATAATAAGAATAGTGCAGAGATATTAGATATTCTCCTCAAATGCTTAGCGAACTAAAGGAATCTGGTACTAAAGATGACGAGATAAGATGAGGATAATAATAGGAAAAAAGATAATTATAGCAGAAATAACAATAACAGTAACAACTATGATAATGATGCTCTCTCTCATTCGCCTAGTTCCATATTCCTCCCTATCCTACTTATTACTAGTTTATGAGATTGTATTTCCTGTAACACATTATCATTCTGTGAATAAATAATATAAAGCGAATGATACAAATAAACTTTTGCAAACTTTCATAACCTCTTGCAAACAATAACTCGACGACAGCGACGTAACCATTTTGAAACGCCAAGAGCAATGGAGTGGATCCTGAAAAAGGGGGAAACTAGTGTTCATATCCCCATTTCCGGAGGACAAAGCAATAGGGAAAGAAAATGCAGAACGATGAACGCGGAATAGTCAAAAGTAGATACATGAAAACAGACCGTTGTTAAACCTATTTTCTACTGCAGTCTTGGAAAGCTCAGTGGAGTGGAGGTCAGAGAATGAATGTAAACAATTCAAGAAGTTATTGCGATGATTTTCACAGTAAAACACAATATCTATGCGGATACAGAGCGAATGAGGAACAATGTATACATTTACGTTTACATCACACCGAATAGATACATGGTACATACAGGCATATGCACATATGTGTAAAGATATTCATATTTCCATATA